TATATATGCAGTCCTGGATTATGAACAAATTCTATTTCTAAATCTGCCTTTAGGTCAAATCTGTATATAAGTTTGAACAGTTAGGTACAGTTGTATCTAACGTCAGTCATATGTTTGTCTTAGTATATAGTATATAGTGTACAAATAAAAAACATTAAAGATATACTAAAACATCTTTAACATAATACAGTGATAATAATTCTGATGGAGTCATAAAGTAGAACCCATTTGTTATGAACCATTGTATGTACCTCAAATTTTATAAGGAGTTGGTTTGTAATTAAGGATTGAAGGAAGTTGGACATTTGTAAGTAACCAGGGATTGCCTGTACTAAGATTGAGGGTTTTTTTTTCCTTCTTCAACTTCCTATTTTGTCACCATTTAATGCACCAATGTAATTAGTTTTTGTGGGAACAGCATAGAGGGAAGAAGGGGCAAAGATTTGAGGCATTGCAGGAAGTGTGGTGAGCAGGTCCAGAAAAGAAAGATGGGTGAGCCAGTCAATTAAACTTCATCACCTTCAGCTGTAAACAAGGATGTAAACTCTTTTTCTGTCCTCAACAGCAACCAGAATAATGCTGTTATTTCGAAAGCTGCATATAAAATTCGAGATCTATTACCTTCCTCTCCCCAGTTTCCACAAAATCTTTTTTCTCGTAGAAATGCCTCATCCTAACATTTTTAATCAGAATCATAGGTGAAAAATTTGCAGAACTCTATATGTGGTATGGATTCTTCTGGAAAACGGGACTATGGTTCTTTGAACATTTTTCTTTCCTGAAAGCAAACGCATACAAGTTAAGTCGCTTGCCAAGAACCCTTGTTTTCCAAGAAAATTCTGTAAGGCTCGCTGAAAAATTACGGCGCAAACAGTAACCTTTTAAATTTAGAAGGATCCTCTTCCAGGGGGAGGATGCCTAAAATAGTACAAAGTAAATATGCAGCAATTTTGTTACATAAACTTCTTAAAAAAAACAAACCCACCACTGAGACACAGGGAACAAAGAGCTTCCAGAGGCATATCTATGGTATGGTAGGTATGGCAAGTGCCCTGGGCGCCACTTGTGGGGAGGCGCCAATGAGCAGTTCCTATTGGCCTTTGTAATTTCCACCGCAGCTATGAGAGATCATTCAGTAAGTTAAAATTAACTGCCATAAGTTAAGTCTCTGCTTCCAAGAGCTTGGTGCTGTTTGCCCAGGCCCTGAGTTTCGGGATTCAGCTGTCGGCGCTTGGAAGCCTGAACTGAGGTTTAATGATCCATCCAAGCACTCTAACGCCCAATCACCTTCAATCGGAAGTCTATCATAATTGTGCCATTTTACTCTGGTAGCATAGTGGCTAAAGCACTTGACTGCTAACCAGAAGGCTGGCGGTTCATACCCACCAGCCACTCCTCGGAAGGAAGGCTGGGCAATCCTACTTCCGTCGTGATTGTTGTTGTTGTTGTTATGTGCCGCCGAGTCGGCCCCGACTCATAGCGACCCCTCTTTGGGTTTCCGAGGCAGTATCACTACGGAAGTAGGATTGCCCAACCTTCCTTCTGAGGATACTGCCTCGGAAACCCAAGGAGGGGTCGCTATGAGTCGGGGCCCGACTCGACGGCACATAACAACAACAACAACAGGTAAAATTGAGGCTACGGCTTAGTGTTCTTGACTCATTTACTTGAGACAGGGGGAAAAAACATCTTTCCCTAATTACCTTAAAAAGAAAAAAAGTAATGGTTTAAACCAATCCACGCCACATAAAAAATGACTTTCCAACAATGTTGTTTTCTTTGGGGTCAAATCCTTTGATCTCACTTGTAAAACCAAGAAGCAGGACAACATTTTACTGTAAATTAGAAGAGTCTCCCCCATCACCCGAATTTCCGAGGACATCAATCTCAACGGACCCATTATTACTAGAGGAACTGAAAGAGCATCCCCACGCGCAGGAGGGTGGTAATAAAAGCCGAGCGGCCCTACCCACAGGTCAAGTAAAGGGGGAAGAAGACGCCCCGCTGTACATCCGCGAGAAAGCTAAAGCGTCTTCTTTGACCCCAGGGTCAGAAAGGTTTATTACTTCCTCGGTGAAGAAGAAGCTACAGGCCAGCTGAGAAACGCGAGCCGGGAAACCGGAGCTTGCGCTCGCCGTCCTTGTTTCGCTGAGGCGCGGATGAGTCGTCCGCTGCTGAAGAGTCTGGCCGCGCCAAGTCCGGGAGGAGAGCGGAACGGGAGGCTGCCGGGGAATTTCTGCCTAAACTTTTATCACCAACTCTGTCGGAGAACAAAAACGAAAGGCACAAATAATCCAAATATCTCCGAGCTCAAGGCGCCCAAGCGCTCCGAACCCCGCGCTCGCCTCCCGCACGTTTTGCGCATGGAGAGCTACGCTCTCAGCCGAGCACAGAGCGGCCCCGAGAGGCGCCGCTGTAAACCGGGATCCGCATCTCCAGCCCCCAAAAGCGGAGGCAGCGGAGGCGGCGGGAGCGGTGGGAGTAGGGAGCCGTGAGAAGGGAGGGCGCGGGGCGGGCGGCGGAGGAGGGTAGCACGGTGAAGGGGCGGAGCCGCGGGGACGGACGGCCGCGAGCACCAACCCGGTGCGGGCTGGCAGGAGCCGCGCAGAGGCTGGCCTGAACGCGTTGCAGCCGCTCGGCGTAGGGGGAGTCGGGTAGCAGCATCTTCCCGGGCGCCGCTTTTGCTTGGCGGCGGCAGCGGGGTCTTTTCTGCTCTGATACGTTGTTGGCCAGAAGCGTCTGGTGCTGGGGCGGGGTGGTGCCAGGGCTGGGGTGGGTAGGTAATGCTGCGTAACCGGGCTCCTTTACCCAGAGGTCTGCTTGCAGGGTCCATCCGGGCCAGTCGGAGGCTGTGAAGCGGAGGTGCCGCCGGCGCTGCCCGTCCGGGCATCTTCTGGATGATGGAAGAAGCTGCCGCCACCGCGGCCGTTGTGGGGTCGCGCTGCTCCCCATCCGCTGCTGCAACAAGGGAGATGGGAAGATTTGCGGCGCGAAGCCCGAGAGCGAGAGAGTCAGAGCCGTTGTGCCGGGTACTGAGTCCCGTGTAAGCTCCCTCCCCCGCCGCTCTCCGCCCGCTTCGCCCCCTGGAGCGCGGTGCGCAGGCGAGGAAGGGAAACTGCGGTCTCAAGAGTGGAGGAGACGCCTTTGAAGCCAGGACGCACCCAGTACTCGGCGGAGCGAGGAGCAGGGCGCCGGGCCCGGTGAAAGTTTCCTTTCCCGAGCCGCGGGACGCCCGCTGCCCGGAAACTCTGCTTAGGACTCAGGCTGTCGAGGGCTGGTGAGTCCTGCAGTCCCCTCTAAGGCTCGGGGATCCGCGGAGCGAGAGAGCGGGTGAGAAATCGAAGAACCGGTGACAGCCGGACAAATCGCCGGGCCGTGATCCCGGGCACGCCGGTGGCTCCAGGTGAGCTAGGGAGTCGATCATACCTCAGGCTTTACTTAGGCGGGGGTGGGGTGCGAGGAGGAAGATTGGGGCACACCCGTTCACCCCACTTTCCTTCGCAGGCCCTTCCCGGAGCCGCTGCCATGGGAGAGCCAGCTCGGGGCGCCGGGGACCAGCCGCTGCTGCAGCCGCGCCCGTCTTGGAGCAGCGGCCTCAGCCCCCGCGCCCGCAACCGGTCCGTTGAGTCTCCGGCCCGGGCCGTGGGGCCACCTCCCCCGCGCCGCCGGCCTGGGTTGTGCCTGTGATGACCCGCAGCCC